ACACACACACACACACACACACACACACACACACACACACAGAATAATTTTCATTTTAAAGTTGTTGTTTTATTACTTAATACAAAAATATATCTTAGAGCAACTGTAAATTTTAAATTCATGGTTCAATGCAACAAGTTAAAATAATTTAAATACAAAAGATAGTTATTCTTCCACATGTTATTGCAGTGTTTTCCCTCCCAACTAATACGGGGTCCGGCCCCTGAGCTGTTGGCTTTGAGTAAGCAATTTAGTTGAATAGCCCTGCTTTGTGGTGTAACAATCTAAGATAAAAACAATAAAGCTTAATTCATATTTAGCTATGATATAAAGTTATTTTTTTTGTTTTATATGAGCAATAACTTTAAATGAAAACAAAAGTTTACTTTTATTAGGGGCATAGTTTTTGTTTGTTTGTTTTAGTGTAAATTTACCAATTTATTTATTAGATCTGCAGATGAAAGATTTTATCAAGTTTACATCAGCTTAAAAAAGTTCATGTTATTTTGCTAACACAACAAAAAATAAGCACTCAAAAAATAAATAGCAAATGTTGTAGTATATTATTGTGGCCACTAGATGTCATTTTTGTCACAACTTGAAGTTGATTTAAGACCAACATGTCCTCATAGTGTTTGCAATTGCCTGAAATTGTTTTAAATGTTTTTTTATTGAAGAAATATCACAATGAAAGTCAAAAATACATCTTTTAGTATGTATTAAATGATGGCTTTCTACTCAACACAGGCACTAAAAAAACTTTTCTAAATGCATAAATTACGATACACAAACTCTGCAGCGCCCTGTATTTTGTCGTGTTAATACATCTCTTCATCCATGTAAAGGCTTGAATAGGTTTTTGTGCTCTTATTTAACAATAAACAATTTGAACACAGCATGATTGATTTATTGAAATGTACATATAAAGGCAGAAAATGTACTAATGATGGCAATAACTTCGCCAAGATGAAAGCATCAACTATAAAAACACTGACTGCGTAAAATTCAAAACATCACATATCAAAGTTTCCCTCCTGCAGCCGATTTGTCATTCCAAGTGCCATGAAAAGGTTTTGGTAAAAGGCTGATATCCTTTCCTTCTGTGGAGGCCAATCCAGGATGCAGCTCGACCGTAACATGCCTCTGCGGAGGAAAAGTGTGCGAGACAGTTTGTAGTCGTGCACATCCTCCAGGAAGATGAGGACAACCGAGTCTCTGCTGGCTTCAATGACCTGATGCAGTGCATGATGGACTGTAAATCTGGGTAAGGACAAACAAGAAGAACAAAGATAACTTTGAAAACTCACTAAATGTAAATAACAAAATTATGTCCCAATTGTATGTAAAAAGCTACTCTCAGTAACCAGAGAAAAGTAGAGCCAACACAGTGCTTGTCTTAACTTAATGAGAAACTGAAAACACAGCAAAAAGTAGCTATTCATAATAACTTACAGCACTTCTCAAAAGTTTCAAACCACACATCGTTTTTGTTTTTGATTTTTTTTTTCTTTACATTGTGCTTTCAATGAGCCAGATTTTCTTGTAATATTATTTAAGTGATCTTGATCAAATGTTTTTCGGGCCTTTTGAAGGTCTCTTAGAGTTTGTCTTGAAAATTTATCTGCCTCTTCACTCATTTATGATGCAGTTCATCCTCATTTTCAACATTGTTTTTGTTGGTTAAACTTCTTAGTTCTGACCAATTAACCATCCAGGCATAAAAAGGCTCATAAATTTTAAAAGCTACAAACTTTTAGGCTTTTGTTACCAGCAGCCTGCCAGAAGACCAATTTGTTTCCTCTTTTTAATCAGAATCTTTGAAAAATACTAAAGATAAGAGTTTGACACAAAATAGTATGTTATTATTACTATTATTATTATTAGTAGTAGTAGTAGTAGTAGTAGTAGTATAGTGTCAACACAGTTGTTCAGTTAATTCCCAGTACATCATGCAGTAGAATGATCAACTGAAAAATTCTGTGCCTCTCTGTTCTTTGTTTATTTTTTTTCCTGTTTATGTACATCTTCTATTGTAGATCATTTTTGTGAGGTCTAACATTTCTTCCTTTGTCCTCCACTTGTACACTTTGTTTTTGAAGCACAAACTGCACAAAATGGCATCATGATCAGTTACAAGAACTGGACTAAAAATCTGTGAAAAGCAGCCAGAGTCTAATTAATTAAAATTAAATATGTAAAAACTGATATTCCAAAACTGTTAATGTCATTGTTTTTGAAATTTGAYTTTTTTTACTTAGTGAGTCCAAAGACTCAAGTTATACATGTTTGACTTACCGTCTACACCAGGGGTCGTTGAGAAGACGCTCGGTCACAACAAACAAGATTTTTCTGGAGTTTCTCATGTTATTAACAATGGATTCAAGCTGTGAAAATCCAAGAATTGAATCTCTGTCCTCCAAACAAAACCGGCAATTGTTTTCGTTTTCCAAAGGGATCAGTCGCCTTTCTACCCATGTGGTGTCTTCCTCTGCATGTATGAGATAAGCATCATACAAAAACTCTCTGCTCTCTCCTGCTCTGGCATCACTAAATCCTAATGTGCGGTTGATCAATATATTCCAGTAAAACTTAATCCTCCAGCCTTGGAAACGRACCAGAAATGCACCAATAATTAGCATTAAAACCACTGTGCTGCTGAGAATGAAAAGTGCCTGAAACGGGGTCATATCTCTGCAAGAAAGTGGGTCAAAATCCATGATGGGGCGCTTAAAGTAGGCTAGTGGTGTGTTGCAAACATACTGGTCTCTGAGACCTGGTACACTGGTCACATTGGTGCTGTTTAGCCACGTCACAAACCACAGGATGCTCTCACAGGTGCAGTCAAACGGGTTTTTAGCCATGACAAGCACACTGAGATTGCTAAGKGGAGTACTGAACACTTCAGGTCTGACTGAGGTGATCAGGTTCTTCTGCAAATGTAAAACACGAAGAGACTTCAGATCATCAAAAACAGAGTACTGAAGATCGTCAAGGAGGTTGTTACCAATACTGAGCTCTCTGAGGTTACTCAGACCCCTAAGAGCCTCCAATGGAATCTCATCCAGACCATTGTAATCCATCGTTAAAGTTATTAAATTCTTTGCGTCCTTCAGAAACAAGACAAGACCTCCAAGATTGGCTGACTTCCACAACCGAGCCAAGTTGTTGTGTTGGAGCTTCAGCACATTGAGGTTCTCGAGCCCCTCTAGCGTATTCTCTCTGATGTTGGCAATGTTGTTGCTAAGATCTAAAACAGTAAGGTTGGTCAATGGTCGAAAAGGAGAGGGATCCTGGTTCAAGGCTTCTGCTTTAAGGCTTTTCTCCAGAGTCAGGATTTTAAGAGTGGACACATTCACAAATGAGCTGGCCGTCAGATCAAGTGACTGGACGTTATTGATCATGTGAATCTCCTGGATCTGCTTTAGACCTTCAAATTCTCTGCCAACAATAGTTTGCTTGATGAAGTTGTAATCAAGAAGAAGAATGGTGAGATTTGTCAAAACAGAGAAGCTACCGGGATCGATTTGTTGTAGAGCGTTTCCCGTTAGATTTAGCTTCCTCAGTGGTGCATCGGCAAGTGAGACGAAGGTCTTGCTGGTGATGTGCTTCGGTGAGGTATGTATGTAACTACTCCAACTCAAATCAAGTTCGGTGAGACTCGTCAGGCCAGTGAAGGTGTTCTCTGTGATTTCAGAAAAAACACTTTTTTGTAATATCAGGCTCTCCAGGCTGCTTAATGCCTGGAAAGAAAAATCCTCAATAACTGGAAGAGAAGATTTACGACTGTTCACCAACGCTTTGGTCAGCTGTAGCTTCTTTAACATTTTAAGGCCCAGAAATGTTCCTTTGGTCAAGCGCTTAATGTTGTTGTTTGTCAGGATTAGAGTTTGAAGTGTGGACAGCCACTGAAAAGAGCCATCTTGAATTGTGCTTATGGTATTATCGGACAGATCCAGTACAGTTAGGTTCGTATTCTGCAGGCCAGTAAATGTTTTATCATTGAGTGTGACAAGCTTTATCTTCTTCAGAGACAGAGTACCAATGGCTGTTCCTGACAGCTCCGTACAGAGTTTAGAAATGAAGGTATTGCTGATGCTGCTTCCATCAAGGATTAACATATGCAGGCCTGAAATGGGCTTTAAACACCCAGACTCCAACTGCAACAAAAAAATCAGAGAAATTTTGCAGTGAAACAAAAAAAGGGTAAACAAAACATTCTACTGAAATTAAGGTGCAAYTAGAACATTATTTCAATTCCCATTTCTAGGCAAGTGACATACTGTTTTTAAAGACACAGCTGACAGGTTGACAACTYGTAGAAAAGGTGAATCCTTAAGGAAGGAGAAGTCTTTTGCTTTCAGAGATGTGAAAGCATTGTGTCCGAGATTCAGGGTTTCCAAGCTGGGCAGCTGAGGCTGTGATCCAAGCATGGCCGTTTGCAGGTTGTTCTGAGATACATCGAAAAACTTCAGGTTCTGTAAATCAGGAAAAAGAAGGACATGGAAAGGATGTTTTTTGAATGCAATGCATGAAAAAAATGCAAGTGGAAAACCTTTAGTGTCTTTATTTTAAAGCATACTTCAGGCATTAAGTACATAAAAAAGGATATTATCCATTTAAAGTAATTGTTCCAAACTTTTAAAGCAGAGTTCAGCAGAACAAGTATGAACAATTATTATCATACATTTTATAGATGGCTCTTTGGACAATCTAAACTTAAAAAAATGAGTTTAATCTTGACCGAATTAATAAGCTAACAGCCAGTCCACGTAGAAGTTAATGCAAATAATAATTTACAAACCTTTACATTCCCATAATTTTTACATTTTATTTACACATAATCTTAAGGTTATTTACAAGTACCTATTTCACTTGGTAAACTCAAACTTCACTAAGACATGAATAAAGACAAGTAAACTACAAGCCAGTGTCAATATTTAAATAAAAAGTTCATAATTCATGGACTAAACATGAAAARTCCCCAAATGACTTGCAAGTGGTAATTTTCAAGCCTACTACATAGTTGACTAAAATCAATATTTCAGCATTAAGTCATAATAGACAAGTACAAAACCTCTGCAAAACTGCACTGTAGGTTGAAAAGGATTTAATTTTTTACATAAGTGTAAGTCAAATATGTGTTGTTTTAAAATAGACAACCTGAACCAGTACCTTCAGTGTAGTGAAGGGCTCTCCTTGCAGTTTTAGCCTATTGCTCGCCAAGTTCAACCACGTTAAGCCGGTACAGTGCTCCAGATGTTCTTTTCTTAAAGAAACCACTTGATTATGCGCCAAGTTTAGAATCTGCAGCAAAGGCAGGTTCTGGCACAAGGCCTCGCCCAGCTTGGCAATGCTGTTGTAACTCACATCAAGGCGCAACAGGCCCTTGTATCGGTTCAGCGCGTCGGGGAGGATTAGCGCCAGCCTGTTGTGAGACAAAACCAGGCTGGTGATGTTCTCAGGTAAGTCTTGAGGCACGGCGCTCAGGTTAAGGTGAGCGCAGTCAGCTGTGTCACTTTTCACACTGCATCCAGTGTTCTCCGGGGAGGCCRTGCAGCGATACGTCCCCACAACGAAAGCACACACCAAGATGATCCATGATAGGAGACACGAAACAGGTGCACGCCTGGTCCCAAACATATCTGAGAGAATAAACATGCAGAATGTCATGTTAAGGAGATCAGCAACATGTTTAACAGAGCAGCAAATAAATCAATTGATACATCAGCTATCCCCTTATATAGGGGTCTGCAACCTGCAGTTCTGGGGAAACATATGGCTCTTTTGTAGTGGCTCTTTTAAGTTTTGACCAAAACTAAAATGAGTTTGTTTGTTTGTTTGTTTGTTTGTTTGTTTGTTTGTTTGTTTGTTTGTTTGTTTTTTTCAATAACTATAAGACATATTGCTGAGAAACAATATGTTAAGTTGATTAGATAACAATGGAAAAAACATACAAATGCCTGCATAATTTAGAGTTTTAGTTTTAATCAAATTTGGTATATCTTTTCTTGTTTACATAACAGTAGTCGTTTTCTTTTCTTCCTTAAGTGTTAAAACAATAACAAACATTAAAAATTTGTATATGGTGCAACAATACATGTACTTGTATCGAACCGTATCGAACAGTGCTGTATCGAACAATACAGATTTTAAAATTTTACTTTATCAACTTGTCTTCTGAAGATGCTCTGTGTTGAAGGATCAGTGGATCTGTGTTCGACTACTCCACCTAGGCTGCATTTTTGAGCGCAGGTCCACTGAGAAACTTGCTGTTTCAGCAACATTTAATTAAAAAAACTGTACTTTTGAGGTTAAACAATTGTTCACAATTAATA